CCCACCCTCCCCCTCAGAAATCGTGGGGGGCAGGGGTAGGGTTCGCATGTGGCCCCCTATCCGTCCGGCTACGGCGCGGTCCTCGGCGGCATCGTCCTCGACGAGCACCAGCAGGAGGCGCTCGACAGGGCGCTCCGCGGGGAGAGCGTCTTCATCACCGGAGGCGCGGGCTCGGGCAAGACGTTCGTGGCGCGGTGCGTCGTCGACGCGCTGAGGGAGAAGCTCGGCGACGACGACGGCGAGAGGGTGGTCGTCACCGCGGCCACCGGCGTCGCCGCCGTCGTGGCGGGCGGATGCACGCTGCATCACAAGTGCGGCGTCAACGTGCCTCGCCTGTTGGAGGACTTCGAAGTCATGCGGCGCTCGACATTCAGCAGCCGCTCCTGGTGGCGCCGGCTGGAGGTGCTCGTCATTGACGAGATATCGATGATCTCGGGGGAGTTCCTGGACCACTTCGAGGCCCAGGTGAGGTGGCTGCGCGGCAGGGACGAGCCCTTCGGCGGCCTGCAGGTCGTGCTGGTTGGAGACCCTTTCCAGCTTGTCCCCATCCCGCCGTCATTCACGGGCATCCGAGGCCTCCACGTGGACGAGGAGAATGGGAGGGCCGTGGTCGGGTCCACGTCCGGAGGCGAGAAGGAGCTGTTCCTGAACCGCGGGATGTTCTTCCAGAGCGATGCGTATTGGAACAGCAGCTTCGAGGTCGTCGAGCTGGGAATTCCCCATCGCCAGGATGGCCAGGGCGAGTACTTCAGTGCCCTTAACAGGTTGCGTGACGGAAGTCGTGACAATGTGACGGCGTTCAAGAAGGCTATCAGGTTCTTCAACGATCGTATCCGGAAAGAACCAACTAGTGATGGTGTTGTGCACATGTTTCCAACTATCCGTGCAATGCAGCTGATGAATCAAGCTAGATTGAACGAGATACCTTCGGAGCCGGTCGTATTCGAGGCTGCCGACGATGTGGTACTCGAAACAGAAGCAACAGGAGCCACCGCTAGCTATTTCGAGAAGCTCCTTCGTTCAAACGATTTCTTTAAAGATCGGAGCGCTGACTGCCCAGTCGTGCGAACTCTCAGTCTGAAGGAAGGCGCGCGGGTGATGTTGGTGGCCAACGTGAGGCATTTGCACAGCAGCCTCGTGAACGGACTCTGCGGCACAGTGGTGGGGCTGGCACCCCCAGGTGAAGCCTGGGCGGAGGTGGACTTCGACGGCGTAGGTCCAGTCGTGGTCCCGCAGTGGCGCTTCTCGGCCAAGGTCCCAGGCCTGGGCTCGTGCAACAGGCTGCAGCTCCCCCTGCAGCTGGCCTGGGCAGTCACCACCCACAAGTCGCAGGGGAAGACGCTGAGCAGCGTGCGCGTAGACCCCCGCGCGTTCACTGATGGCCTGCTGTACGTCGCGCTCTCGCGCACCACCTCGGTCGAGGGCCTGGAGCTGGCAGGGCCCATCGCCCACAAGAATGCCCTGGTGAACAAGGATGCCGTCAGCTTCATGGAGCACCACAAGGACCCTCGCCGCGCGAGGGAGCTGCTCGGCACGTGGCGGACTCAGCCGCTGCCGAAGGGCTTGCTGAAGGCATCGGCGTCGTAGAGGAGGCCAATCGGCAGCATCAGCATGGGAAGTACAGGACACCGCCGTTTTAGTTTCGTGGGGCAGGCGGCTGGGGACACCGCCTGGTGGTTGCGAGGTGTGGCGGTCACAGAGCGCAGCCTGAAAAAAAATGTTTCAACATGGACCCAAATATGGTTCAAGACGGCCGAAGAATCCTCCCTGGGAGAGATCCAACAATTCCCCGAAAGGGCTTGGGCGCAGGTGTCTGTTTTAGTTTGTAAATTGTCCCCGGTGCCATGTTCGAAGAGGGCGTGCAGATTTGTTCTATGCGTTGGTAAATGACGAGGTCGACGAGGGCCAGCGGATTTGTTTTTCAATTCGTCTCGAGCGTGAGCTTCCTTCGTGAGCAGCGTTTGAAGATTTGAGCGTTGTTTTCGTTAGTTGAGGATGTCTCGATCGAAGCGCCGGTTCTCCAGCGAGACGCTTTTCACGTGTCTAGGCCACCCAGTGTGTCGTCGGCATCTCACACGTAGAAGCAGCGCGGAGGAGGCATCTAACACGCGTCTGGCGCCTGTAGGCTTGGCACACGTTTTCACGTGTCTCGGCCACGCAGGGGGAAATCCAACGTGTGGTCGTCGGGGTTTATGCGTGAGCAAAGTGCAAGAACATCTCGAGCGAGGGCCTCGTCCGAGAGTGAATTTGCGAGGAAGTTGTGAGCGAGGGGCCCTCGTCTGCGAGGAGGTGGGGAAGGAGGAGCTCAAGCCGCGTGTTCCTGCAGCCCAAGAGGTCCCCAAGACAGCCCCAAGACCTTCCAGGAGCGCCCCAAAGGCGGCCCAAGAGGCGATGTTGATGGTCCCAGAAGGGGCAGGCAAATCGAGGACCCTCCTCGTTTGATTGATGCCCTCCAAAACGGCCCCAAGAGGCCCTCCAGGCCTCCCAAGACGCCCCCAAGAGAACGCCAAAAGAGCCCAAAGACCCCCCTAAAGAGCCCACATGGGTTCATTTCGCCCGTGAGCTGACCTCACATTTTTCCCCCACATCCAAAGTGGGGTTCTTATTTTCTCTGGACACCCCGCGCAGGAACCTCCTCACCTCACCCCCTCTCCTCTTCTGTCTTCGTGCTCTCACTCACTCACTCACTCACTCACTAGCTCACTCACTCACTCACTCACTCGCTCACTCACTCACCCACTCACTCACTCACTCACTCACTCACTCACTCACTCATCAGCACTCACTCACTCACACGCTCATGAACTCACATCTGATGATGATGAGTGTGCGCGTGAGAGAGTGTGATGATGATCATCATCATCATCATCATCATCATCATCAGCATCATCATCATCATCATCACCAGTCAGTCACTCACTCACTCACTCACTCACTCACTCACTCGCCTTGGGCCTCGTCTGTGAGTGAATTGCGAGAAAGTCTCAAGCGGGAGCCCCCTCCCTGTGGGGCCCGCGGATCATGTTACTAATCCGAGCGGGTCATCCAATTCCTGTAACAGTCGCCACTTATGGGCTCTCGCGCTGCCACAACGCCATTCCCAGGCCACATTTGTGTGTGAATTGCGAGGAAGTCTCAAGCGGGAGCCACCTCCCTGTGGGGCCCGCGGATCATGTTATTAATCCGAGTGGGTCATCCAATTCCTGTAATTGTCGCCGCTTTTGGGCTCTCGCGCTGCCAGAACGCCATTTCCAGGCCACATTTTGAATGCCCGGAGCCAACTGTAGACCACTTCGTGTTCTTCGTGCTCCCAGAACACCATTCCCGGGCCACATTTTGAATGCCCGGAGCCAACTGTAGGCCACTTCGTGTTCTTCGTGCTCCCAGAACACTCCCGGGCCACTTTCTGAATGTCCGGAGCCAAAACAGGAGGGCGAGGTCGGGGGCAACGTAGGGAGCGGGCGCGCCAGGGCGAGAAGAAATATACGCAGAAGAGACAACCAGGACCCCTCACCAACCACGAGGACGACGGTGAGGGCTTTTTCCAGATTCGCCCAGAGGATTCTCATGTGGGATCCTTCCGTCGGAGTAATTACATGTTGTTTTTTGGTCAGTTGAAACAGTTCGCTTAAGAGGTTTCCTGCCTCCCGTGGGCTGAAGCCATCTGTGTTTGTGTATGGGTTCTTTTCGCACGTGAGCTGAAACCATGATTTGTTGTATGGATTCCATGTGGGCAGAGAACATGATTTTTACATTGGCTACTTTTGCCAGTGAGCTAAAAGCATTGTGCTTTTACATGGAGGTCCCTGTCGCCCGTGAGTTGAAACCACGTGTTATTACACGGCTGGGCCCTCATGCCGATTTGTTTTGTTTCGGCTCGTCTTGTTCCAGTTCATCTCATCTCGGTTCGCAGCGTTTCGTCCGTGCATCGTCGGTATGTTTCGCCTCGGTCAGGAGCTGAATCGGATTTTGAGCTCGAGCTGGCTGAGCGCCCCGCACGTTTCGATTGCAACCAATTCTGGGCGAACCACGCGGTGGGAGGCCCAGGCCTCGCGGCCTGTTGGCCCCTAAGGAGTTGGCCGATCTTTACCTGCACACTACGTCGTGCCGGCGTCGGCTGGTCCTTGACGTCGTTCTTACAGGCTGTGCTTCGTCAAGCTCTGATTTAATCGCTTCGCTCATTCCGCCGGCCCTGGAGCCCTCTTTAGGGCCTCTTGGGGGCCTCTTGGGGACCTCTTGGGAGTCTCGTGGGGCTCCTTGGCGGCGTCTTGGGGGCCCCCAGGGCCTCTTGGGGGGCTCTTGTGGGCCTCTTGGGGCGGGAGGGGGGGTGGTCGATTGCGGCTCCCCCCTCGGAGGCCACGATCCTCGTGAGGGGTGTCGAAAAATTGCCCGGTCCGGGGTCTCCTCCCGGGCTTTGCCCGGGGTGCTTTTCGCCCGGGGACGCCCAGGGGCCGCCCCGCGCGCGCGAACTAGAAATATTGTTAACCAGTTACCGGAGATCTTAGCACGCCTCTGGCCCGTTGGGCCAGCGAATTTTCGCGTTGTTTTCCCGCAGTTGCCACGCTATTCTGTATAGTTTGCGCAGTCATGTGAGCACCCAGGAGCCCTCTGATCCCTGACCAGCGTGCACACCATGTGTGTTCATATACATGTATACACATACATGTGTATAAGCACATGTTGGCATACATATGTATGCATATGTACATACACGCACATGTGTACATGTATGTGAACAGTTACATACGTCTTTATATACATGCAAGTGCATACATAGGTCCGAGCGACATCTATATAGAGAGAGGGAGAGAGAGAGAGAGAGAGAGCAACGGATGAAGAGAGATGAGGCAGAAAGAGAGAGGGAGAGGGAGAGAGAGAGAGAGAGAGAGAGAGAGCGCGAGAGAAAGAGAGAGAGAGAGAACCACGACAGCGGAGGGAGAGATGGACGGAGGGTGGCGTGAGAGAGTGCAAGAGAGAGAGAGAGAGACAGGGGCCGTCAGGTCCCACTACGGCTGCGCCTTCTGCGCACCTTGGACGCCGCCGTGACCTTGCTTGGGCCGATGCCGACCTGACCTCCCTCTCGAGTGCGCGGAGCGTGCTGGAGGGCGTTGTCCCAGAGGCGACGCCCAGGGGCGTGTGTGGAGATGGGGGGGGGGCATCGCCGCCCTGAGAAGTTCACGCGGGCCTCCAGTGGTGCGGAGGGCTGAGCAGGAGGAGGAGGAGGAGGAGGAGGAGGAGGAGGAGGAGGCGAATGGCTGAGAGGAGGTGGAAGACGAGGAGCGGGAGCAGGAGGAGGAGGAGGAGGAGGAAGAGGAGGCGAATGGCCGAGAAAGGGAGGAGGAGGAGGAGGAGGAGGAGGAGGAGGAGGAGAAGGAGGAGGAGGAGGAGGAGGGGGAGGCGCCATGACGAAGGGGGTGGGAGGGAGGAGGAGGAGGAGCAGCAGAGGGGGGGAGGCAGGAGGGCATCGCTCTTGTGAGCCCCTCGGCCCTCCAGGCGGGGCTCGCGTGCCCCTGCCCCAGCACGTCGCGCCCCGCTCCGGCGCACGCCGTGCAGCTCTCGGAGGCCCGGGTGACCGGTGGCACGACGAGACCGCCGCTCCTGGACTTGCAGTCAATTGGTATAGTAACAGGGGAACGAAAAGTGCATAAACGAAAATGCTCGGAGGTCCGCGCGGATTTCTCGGGTCGGCGCCGGGGCCCCCCGGCGGCGCCTCTGGCGCCGCCCCTGGCGCGCTCCGCGCGCCAGGGAGGGGGGGTCCAGCGCCGATCCGAGAAGTCCGCGCGGATCTGTGAGTTTTTATGTTTATGTCACTTGTCGTTCCCCTAAGTAAGGATGGGCAACCCTCCCAAGGGTACCCTTGCATCCCAGCCTCCTCGGTCCATTCTTCGCTGCTTTCGCTGGCCGCGCCCCGCACGAGAAACTTCGAAGCGGCCTTCCGAGGCCCTTGCATCCTTGTCGAGCATCCTTACTGTACGGGTTGACTGTAAGTCGGGCCTGTCCCTCCGCAGGAAGAAATATTCAAAAAAAGTAAACAATAGTCGGGGGACGCTATTTTTCATTTTTCCTCCCAGATCCGCCTGAGGGAGGACATGCCCGACCTAATCCGAGACCCCTCGAGTCATGAAAACATCACGACGGAAGATGTTTCGCCATTGTCAGCCGCTAGCGGTTTCTTCGAGGCCTCGGGACTGTCAAAAAAAAAAAACAACTCAGGATGAAGGGTGCTCTGAGCAGTTCTTATGTGCACTGTACTCCGTGGGTCTCAGGCTCCCTACGTTTTTGGCATGCCTGCGAGTGTCCGCAAATCTGAGAACAGTAAACACATGATCTATCAAGTCTGGTGATGAAGTCTAGGGATCAGTCGGGCCCGTCCCTCTACAGGAGGAGTATTCAAAAATGGCCAAACAATAGTCTTGGGACCATTTTTGAAGCTTTTTTTGACCATTTTGGAATATGTTTGCAGTACTTTTATTTTTGTCGCCGAAAATCCCCCTGTAGGGGGGCACGCCCGACTTAAGTCTAGTGGCTTTCACGAGGCCTCAGGGTGAAAAATCGGTCCCAGCCCGCGTGCACTAAGCGCGCGGCAAGCGCCGCAACAACCGGCGCACCAAGCAACACTTGAGCAGGCGAGGGGGACGCAGCGGAAAATCACCCATCAGACATCAGAGAAACCAAACGCCGAAACAAGCATGGTGGCAAAACCGACACCAATGTTGCACCAATGTTTTGGCTTCCTGCCTGTAGCAGGCAGGCCCGTCGCAAGTCCCAGGAAGTGGGAACATACATGGGAAGTGGGGGGGAAGACGAAAACCCAGAACATGTGGGAAAATATGGGAATCTGTTTATTGGTGTGTATTTATTTGTGTGTCCTGGGGCCCCTTCAGCGAGGGTGGCCGCGCGCCTCGCGCCAGGAGGCGCGCGGGTATTTTTCGAGCATGGCCTACAGGAGGAGCATTCAAAAATGTTCAAAAAACAGTCTGCCTGACATCGCTCGGACGTGTGCATTTTTTCTCGGCGAGGGCCATCGAGGAGCATCTTTGATCATTCGGCGAAAAAACCACGCACGAAACCGAAAAAACACGGGAAATGGACGTCCGAGCGACGGCGAGTTTGGGGAGTATTGTTTGACTATTCTTTAGCATCTTGGGAGTCTTTTTCGAGTAGGGTTAGTTTTTCGCTAAAGAAATGTCCCTGTGGGGGGACAGGCCCGACCTCAGCGTGTCGCGGCTCGGCTCGGGCTCGAGTGGCGCCCCTTTCCAGGGCGGCGGCGCGAGGGCGCGGGCGAGGGCGCGGAGACGACCGCGCATCGCGGCGGCGCGAGGGCGCGACGCGAGGTGGCCTGGGCGCTGGCTGCCATCCTGGCGCGTGGACGCTGCCGTCGGAGCAGATGAGGAGGGCAGAGGGCAGTTCCGATTTTGCTCGGATCGGGAAAGGGCGGCATGAATATCAACTGTCCGAACTCCGCGTTGATTTTTGGGATCTGCGCTGGGCCCCCCTGGCGGCGCCTCTGGCGCCGTCCCGGAGCGCGCCAGGGAGGAGGATCCTCAAGAAATCCGCGGGGAGCTCCGACAATCTACAGTCGAGCCGCATGGTACGGATGGGCAACCTTCCCAAGGGTACCCTTGCATCCTTGCCCCTTCGGCCCATGCTCAGCGACTTTCGCTGGCCAACCTCGTTCGAGAAACGTAAACTTGGGCCTCGAAGGCCCTCCAGTCCTTATCGCGCTCCTTATGATCGGAGGTGAGGGGGTGAGATCGAAGTGGAACGGAGAGCCCCCCTACCGGGAAATCGATTTCGGTTTCGTGTTCGTGCGTGCCGTGCGTGCGGGCGAGGCGAAGCTGCGCGGGCGGGCGAGAGGAAAGTCTCCTGTGGCTGAGGCGCGGCCGGACCAAATGATTCTCCACCGGGCGGCCGGTGGCGCGCGGTGTCCCGCCGGTGTCCCAGTGGTGTCCTCTGTGGCTGAGGCGCGGCCGGACCAAATGATTCTCCACCAGGCGGCTGGTGGCGCGCGGTGTCCCGCCAGTGTCCCGCCGGTGTCCCGTCGGTGTCCCGTCGGTGTCCCGATCATGATGTTGTTGATGATGATGATGATTATGATGATGATGATCATGGTGATGATGAAGATGGTAATGATGATGATGATGTGATGATGTTATGATGATGATTATGATGATGATGATGATGATGATGATGATGATGATGATGATGATGATGATGATGATGATGATGATGATGATGATGATGATGATGACGTCGATTGCGAGATCGATTGTGATATCGGTAGTGAGACCGAATGTGAGATCGATTGTGAGATCGATAGTGAGATCGATAGTGAGACCGAATGTGATACCGAATGTGAGACCGAATGTGAGATCGATAGCGAGATCGATTGAGTGGGACGTTGGTTCCCCCTCCCCCCTCACCTCCTTCTCACCCGCAGGGTGGTCGTACAGGTATGGGTTGACTCTGTATATTCACGCCGTGCTCTGTTCCTCCGCGTGCCCTGGGGGGGATCGAGAGGCGAGGGAGGACCGGGGCCCCTCCCAAACGGTAGCGGTATAACCACGCCGTGAGTGGAGGCACGGGGGGGTACCGCACAGTTCGAGGGTCGTCTTCCGAGGACGTCTCGGGCGAATTCAATCGAAAAACAAAAAACGGCATAAACATGAACTTTCGACGCTGCGCGCGGATTTCTTGGATCCGCGCTGGGGCCCCCTCCTCCTCCTCCTCCTCCTCCTCCTCCTCCTCCTCCTCCTCCTCCTCCTCCTTCCCCTCCTCCTCCCTCTCCTCCTCCTCCTCTTCTTCTTCGGGAATCCACCGCGAGCTCCTCGAATCAGGCACGGCGAGCGAACGAAAACGAAAATTGGATTCAAATGAATCAGCGAGTCTCCCTAGACTCGTCTGGCCAGGACTTATGTCCTGGTGGGAGAAGTCCCGCGGCCAGGTTCCTGATCACTCGAGCCCCCCACTCTCCCCGAGTCCTGGGCTCGCAGGGCCTGGTCAGCTTCTGCACTTTGACGGGCCCTTTCCCCCTCGGGGGCGGACCCCGCAACTCCCACAAACTTCACACCAATATACACCCCTCGTGTGGTCCAGACGGTGAGACGGGTGCAGGGACTCGGGCCGTCCAGAGCATTCCCCCCCCAACCACTCCACCAACCGCCCTCTCTCGGCCATCGTCCCGCACTCCAAGCAGCGCCAACCTTGGCGGTCGCGGTGCGGGGCGTGGGTGGTCCTGCGGCGGGCCTCCTCCTCCGCCGCCACCTCCGCCCTCCTCCGCTCCTTCTGCTGGGCAACCCCTGGCTGCACGGGAAGAGGGCCCGTACAGCGCACGCGCCTCGGTGGCGATGCTGTGGGCCACGGCCAGCAAGTGTTATTGGACCTGATGGGCGAGGCGGTCGGCCTCGAGCAGGCGGCCGACAAGATTAGCAGGGGCCTGGCACTGGCGCGCGCTCTCCTCAGCCCCCGCATCCGCCGCCCCGTTAGCAAGCCAGAGGGTCTCACCAACATCCTCGGGCCTGGAATGAGACTTGACTTTGACCATTCTGACGTTTCTGCTTGCGGCCAAGCGCTAGAACTCTTTCCAGGCGAAACGGTTGACAGAGTGACGATGACCTGGGCCTTTCCAAAAGGCCTTGACCACACACGCACTATCGACGGCCAGGTCAACGTCACCTATAGTGTTCTTGAGCACCTCCAGCGCCCCCTGCAATTCGGCACACGGCACTGTCTGCTTAAAAACTGGGAGGGGTCCCCTACCCCAGGCCACCAGCTGGAGATCTCTGATCACACTAAAACCCTAGGCGCAGCGCCGCAGTCGCCAGACGAATATTTGCCCCCAGACCCGTCCGACCCAGCCACGTCCCCCTCCACTAACTGCAACGGGCCTTCCTGCAGGGAGGCAGAAAACACGGGATCGACCTCGAAGACGGCATCAGCTATCTCTTGGGTCCATGGCGTGGGGGGAAGCCCGCGGAGCCAGAAAATCGGGGCCTCCACAACTCCCTCACGAGCTTGCTCGAGCAACTCGGGGTGGGTCCCAGGGATACCAGCATTATTGGGGCATTCCCACATTTGGTGAAACAAAGTTTCCTCCAGGGCTCCACAACGGGGGCAGGC